CTATTACATAGTTTTTAGAAGTTGCTTTGAAATATAAAGCCTTTTAGTTTTATGTCCAGAAATGCATTCAATATTTAATTTCTTCTGGTGCTAATTGTTACCTCTGCAGATTCTAATAAATGGGATTGCTTAAAATAACTAGCAAGTATTTAGTTAAAAAGTAAGATTATCAAGTCTTATAACTTTTTCTGGTTTAAGGATAAGTAAATATTAAACAAAAAGGCTTTATATTTCAAAGCAACTTCTAAAAACTATGTAATAGGAAGACTTATGTAAGAATATTTATATCAGAGATTTTGCACATTATATATGATGTCCATGGGGCACCCTCAACTTAAACCTTATGAGGGTGCCAAATCTCACAGTTCAGTGTTCAGATGTTCACTGTTCTTAAAGTCCTGCAAGACTTCATAAATGGGAATGCTGAAATCTCAAATGTGGCATTCTTGTGATTTTTTCTCTTTTCCTATCTATCTATCATCTCATAGAAAAATACTACTTGTACCACCATGCCAAATTGATGATGCATAATATCTTTAAAAGGATGTTGACCCCAGTCTTGTGCTGTACAACTTTTAGATATGAAGATAATGTTTTTTTCCCCTGCAGAGGGCACTGTCATTAATTTCACAAGAGAAGAATTCTGTTCTCCTTTGTTCATGGGCTTGCTTACTCTTCCTGAGTATTAATTTGGTGATCATCTGTTTTTTTTTTCAATTAAAACTCAAAACATTGATAATGATTAAAACTTATAACAGCCACATGCATGTATAGTGCTAGGAAGTAGGGCAGATGTTTTCTTTTTTCTTTTGTTTGAAACATAACTTGGAACATCATTCATTGCTTCAGTATTTGCAGAATATTTAAATTTTGATCACAGGTTATGATAAAGTAAATTGAAAAATTTTAGGCCAAAGCGAAAATGAGATTTTAGACCCATTTTGAATGGTAATGATGGGATCTGTTGGCAGCTGGAACAAATGAATTCCAGATTCCTTTACTTCCTTTTATTTGTGAAATGAATTAGTTCTAGTGAAAATTCACAGTGTTAAAAACAAGCAAAAAGAAGAGTAAACCAGTTTGTTTAAGACATAAGTTTATGGCAGTAGGATCAAACATGGGATTTTTTATATGGGTAGTACTATGTAAAGATATACTGATTTCTAATTAATGTAATTATTTCAAATGAAATCATTTTCAGTTCTTCCATGTTTTTCCTACCTACAGAACTAAGATACAAATATGTAACTTTAACTACTATTTTAATTATTTGTAACTATAAAGGATTTACATTTTTAAATCACATAGCACATAGGGCAGTTAGTGTTAAGTTAGATGCAATGTGCTATTGTTCTTAAAGAATCATTAGAAGAAATATGTTTATTCATTTCTCCAATTGCTATAAAAATCTTCAAATGGATTCTTTTTTCCTCATCCATAATGTTTGGATATGATATACCTCTCAAATGAATTTGGAGGGCACTTTGGCAGTGCTGAATGAATTCCTTGGGAATTAAATTTTAATAAAGAAAAGATTAAAGAACATTCACTAAGCTTCTTTCTGTCCATCCTCAGTAGAATATCTGTATTTACGTAGGTTAAGAAAATACATCTGTAAATAGTTGGTTAGGTGTTTTCTAAAATGAAAATAAGGAACCTGGAAAATGCAAACCTTTATTAAGAAGATGGTGATTTATTGACATGTTTGAAAAATATGTGAAGTATGCTGGTAAGAATTTTATTTTCATATTCTCCTAATTCACCTAGAATTAAATGTGATACTACACTTTTAATTGACAAACTAGTCAATTACATTGATTTAAATTTCTTAGTAAGAAAATAAACTCTTCTGAGGGAAAGTGAAGAGTTAATATAATTTGACTTATTTATAATTTTTAATTTACATTATCAGCTTTGATTGAGATCAGAAAAGATTGAGAACTTAAAATTATCTGATATGTGTACTTTATATTAAATTAACTAATCATTTGTAAGTCTAAATTAATTGTGTTCATTGTAATGATTTAAATCACAAACACTGCTTAGCAGTAAATTTGATTGTCATATAATGTCATTTATATTTTTATAATTTATAGAAAATCTTTACAGGTAGTCCTCATTTTACAATCACAATTGGGACCAAAAATCTGGTCATAAGTTGTTGAGGTCATAAGTTCAGGTACCCACATAACCAGACCCATTTTTCTGACATTTTTCACAGTAGTTGGTAAAAATGTTAAGTGAACACATTTCTTCTGAATAGTGTCTTTTAGCTCAAAATGGACAAAAAACATTGTGATAATCCTCAGTCAGTTATTTTCAATGTTTATTGTACTTGTCAAAAATCAAGTATAACCACACATGAAATGCTTGTGATTGACAGAAATAAAGTAAAATATAGACTAGTCTCCTCTAAATCAGTGTATTTGGTAAGTTGGTTCATTTAATTTCTTCTCCAGAGCAAACACTAGTTTTAGAAGAAAGAAATCCCTTTATACCTTTCTGAGAAAAGAAATTATTTTAATTCCCTGCATTTTTATTAGCTTCTTTGTGTAACTTTTTTCAAAAAATATTTAATATTTCATATTAAATGCAAAAAATGTGTATAGGTAATTAAGTTATGATAGTAATGTGGACTGGAATCTCAGTTACTAGATACTGGGTTATAAAGCATGATGTCACATGAGCGCATTGCTTAGAAAAACCAACCTAACACTTCCTATTGCTATTATTAACCAAATCACACCAGTTGTTAGGCGAGGACATACACAATCCAGCCATTCCTGGGTTATGCCTCCCAATCCCAAGTCTTGGTAAGGTAAGGGACTACTATCTCTTTTTCAATTACCCCACCTATTTGCCTCCATCCTGTACTGTAGCAAGCAGTCACAGCATCTCTAAGCCTTTACTTCCACCCTGTTCTGTTTCAAGCCTCTACAATATATATGGACGCAGACTTGGCTGTCTGCCACAACTAAGGAGGGAGATAAACAATCCCTTGGCTGGGAGCCCAGAAAGCTATCTCTATGAAACAAGGCATGAACTCATGAAATTCTCCCAATCTTTCTCTATGGTTGGATCAGTAAATTGTTGTTTCCTGCAAAATTCCCCTCCCATCACCCCACCTATAAGCTCTCCAGGAGGAGCTAATCAGTAGCCACCTGTTCCTATTTCCTTCTGTGACCCTTTTTCCAAAGCTGCTCCCTCCTCCTTGCAGCCCTACACATACGCATGTCAGGGACAGCCTCCCTCTGTTCTTCCTGACTGCTCTCTGACTCAGACGCCACCTGGTGGCCAACAGGGCTCTCTAGTCCCTGCTCTGACTCCGAACACTCCCCAGATTTTTCCTCAGCCGCCAGGGCAGTCCAATAGCGTTTATCGCTGTCAACAGCTCAGCCAGCTGCTGTGGGCCACAACACTATCTCTCACCGTAGGGCCCTTCCCCCGGGTCTGCGCTCAGGGTGTGGCCTAGATGGGAATTGATCATGGAAGGCGTGCACCAAAACAAGTACATGCACGAAGGTCACATTCTCCCAGGTAAAATCCTCCAGCCCATAGCACATTGAATCAGGTATTGGAACCGTCGCTTCAGCCATCGGGAATTCCCGGATACTGGCAACTTTGTACTCAGACGGCTCCTCGTTGTCATAAGGTTGCGTGGATGTATGCTGTGAGTTATTGAATGCAAACTCCACCACTGCCAGGTAGTCTGCCCAATCATTTTGCTGCTGGTTCACAAAACAGCACAGGTACTGCTCCAACATCCCGATCACTTTCTCCATCCCTCCATCGGTTTCTGCATGGTGTGCTGAGGACAAGCAGATTTTTACATCCAAGGCGTTCCTCAGCCCTTTCCAAAACTGGGATGTAAATTGCGCTCCTCACAACTCTGTCAGGTAGGCCGTGCAGCCTGGAAAGATGTTGGATAAACATGTGGGCGGTGGCGCAGGCTGTCGGTAATCCCCGACATGGGGTAAAATGCGCCATCTTTGTCAGCATGTCTACCACTACGAACACTGGTAAATCCAGAAGACGGAGGCAAGTTCGTCAAGAAGTCCATAGAAATGGCCCCCCAAGGTCTCTTCGGTGTCGGCAATGTCTGAAGTAGCCCTGGGGGAGTTCCTGTCGCTGACTTGGCCTGCCGACACCGTACAGAAGACGTGACGTAAGATTGTACTTCAGGTTGTAATCGGGGCCACCAGAAGGTACAGGAGATCAGGTTCAAGGTCTTGAAGAGGCCAAAGTGCCCCACCACAGGATTATCATGGTACTGGGATAGAATAAGTCCCCGAAGTGGCCCCACTGGCACATAGGGTCTGTCTTGGTACCGCAAGAGTTCATTGGTGAATGTCCATGCGAAGGCAGGCCCCACCTCTGCCTTCCGTTGTTCCACCCAATCATCATGCCGCTGCGCTTCCTGTATCTGAGGCCGTAAGTCTACAGGCTCCTAAACTGCAGAGAAGGACTCTATGGGCAAAACTCTCCGGGTGGAATCTGGTCTTTGGTACAAGAATACTTAGGTTTCCGCAAGAATGCATCTGCCCTTTGGTTGTGCGCATTGGGGATGTATGTCACGCGGAAATTGAACTGTGCAAAGAAGAGGGACCACCGAATCTGGCACTGATTCAATTTTTGTGCAATCTTCAAAATTTCCAAATTTCTATGGTCTGTCCGGGCTTCAATTTGATGTCTGGTCCTCTCTAAATGATGCCTCCAGGCCTCAAAACCCACCTTAATGGCTAGTAACTCCTCCCAAATGGTATAATTGAGTTTCCATGAATAATAAGCGCAAGGGAAGAAGGTACCGCTGGAGGCATTAGCCTGAAGTAATACCACTCCAACAGCGATATCTGATGCATCCACCTCCCCTGCAAACGGACGGTGGGGGTCAGGATGCTTCAAGATGGGATTTTTCATGAAGGCCTGCTTCAAGGCCTGGAACGCTTGTTGCTCAGGGGCACTCCAGTGAAACAGAACTTTCTTCTGAAGGAGCCGAGTGAGGGGCGCAGTCGGAAGCAAAGTCGGGGATAAAGGTCTGATAATAGTTGGCAAACCCAAGGAGTCGTTGGACATCCTTCACTCACTGAGGAGGTTGCCAACTATGCACAAACTCAACCTTGCCCGTCTCCATCACAATGCCTTTAGGAGAGATATGATGCCCCAGAAACTCGATGGTGGGCTGCCAAAACTGACACTTCTCCAATTTTGCATACAAATGATTCTCACAGAGCCATTATACAACCAGGTGTAGGTGCTGCCGATGACACTCCTGGGAGGACAAGTAAATTTGAATTTCATCTAGATAAATAATGACAAACTGGTCCAAAAGATCCCGGAAGATGTCGTTCATAAAATGTTGGAAGACGGCAAGGGCATTGGTCAGCCCAAAAGGCAGGACCTTATACGCAAAATGCCCATACCTGGTGCCAAATGCCGTCTTCCATTCATCCCTGGGCCGAATCCGGACAAGATTATAGGCTCCACGCAGATCCAATTTCGTGAAAACTGTAGCCTCTCTGAGCCGCTCCCAACAGTTCAGGAATAAGGGGCAGAGGATATCGATTGCGCACCATGATAGAATTAAGCTTACGGTTGTCAAAACATAGTCTCAAATCTCCGGTTTGACGAACAAGACTGGGGCAAACAGTGGCGAAGACGAGAGTCGGATAAAACCCCGAGCTAGGTTTTTGTCCAGAAAGTCCCACAATGCGGCCGACTCCAGATCTGCAAAATTCCCCTCCCGCCACCCCAATATAAGCTCTCCGGGAGGGGCCAATCAGTAGCCACCTGTTCCTATTTCCTTCTGTGACCCTTTTTCCAAAGCTGCTCCCTCCTCGCAGCCCTACACATACACACGTCAGGGACAGCCTCCCTCTATTCTTCCTCACTGCTCCTTGACTCAGATGCCACCTGCTGGCCAACAGGCATCTCTAGTCCCTGCTCTGACTCCAAACACCCCCCAGAGTCTTCCTCAGCCTCCAGGGCAGTCCCATAGTGTTCATTGCTGTCAGATTCTACCAACAGCTCAGCCGGCTACTGTTGGGCCACAACACACCCCGCACCACTGATGAGTACCTCTATCAAGTGTGGCTGATGTATCTAGTGTTCAAAATTTGATCATGTGATCATGGTGCTGCAACAAACATCAGGGATTGGGTATAAAATGCCATTCAGTGCCACTATAACTTCAAACAGTCGCTGAACGAATGATTGTTAAGCATCAATTGTAGAGGTGTCTCAGTAGTTAGTTATTCATGAGGATGGTATTAAATGAAAAGATTCTTTTGTTTTCCAGTAGAAATATAATCAATATTCCTTGTAAAGCAGGTGGGACACTATCATGCTTACAATGTAGGAGGCTTAGGAAGTCTTGTGCAAGATGATGTTAGAGAATCTGCACAACCCCCCCCCCTCCCCGAAAGTTTGAAGTTTAATAATATTTGTATGCCACCCAATCCCGTAGGACTCCGGGTGGCTAAAGATGGCAAAACTATTAAGTACATTTTACTCTAAGTATAATCTTTATTGTCATTGTACTTAAATACAACAAAATTGGTTAAGCTACGCTATGGAGTAAAGAGATTGAGTGCATTTTTTCTACCTAGATAGGTTGCAACAACGAATTGGTCTAACTTATGGTACAAGTATATTTTATAAATAGCAAATTTCAACAGATGCCACAAGATGCAGTGTTAAATAAGTTTGAACTGTAAAAGCAATGATAAAAATTTCCAAGGAAGGAGAACAAGGTGGAAGAATCTTCTAAGGTTTGTTTTCAGGTGGTAAGCTTCAACCAACGCCAGAGAGAAGACATATTGTTCAGTCACTAAGTTTTGTCCAATTCTTTCTGACCCCATGGATCATAGCACATCTCTCCATCTCTCAGGCTGGGGGGTCAAACAGTTTGCCCCTCAGACAGGGTTCGCAATTTGGGAGTCCTCCTGGACCCACAGCTGACTTTTGAACACCACTTGTCGGCTGTGACCAGGGGGGCATTTGCCCAGGTT